GAATTATCAATTAAGCCTTCTCTCCCGTTAAAACAAGCAATAAAATCAGTTATTTTAACAATCCTAAGTGCTTTACGTATTGCGCATTTAAAGTACGACCTTCACAATAAACTGATTTTTGTGCTTGTTATAAGAAAGCAAAAAGTATGAAGTAAAACTAATTTAGATTAAAATTTTATTGCTTAATACAAAACATTAATTAACTCGTTAATTAATTTTTTATATCCTTTGTAAAATTTAATTAAATATTTTAAATTTTTAACTGCATAATGTTACGCTTACATAAAAAACGCGCGCGTCTTGCGGCAGAAAATATAATGGGAAACGCGGAGAGAAAAAGACGCCGGCGTCTTGCCGCTTTTTTGGGAACTTACATAACTTCCGCTTTCCGCCGGCGTCTTGCGTCTTTTATGTAAGCGTAGCATAATTACGATGATTATTTATAAGTAAATTCACATTCCCCTTGAATAATTAGATAAATTTCGATAGTAGGCGTCATTGTTTTCATTTTAAGGAATAAAAATAATTTTTGACAAAATTAAAAGAGGTACTACGGCGGTTCATCACTTTCGCTTGGAATTAAAAATATTTTTTTACTAACTCGATTATTGTTATATAATTAATAGCCCGACTGTGCATAAAAATAAACATGCGTAACAAGAATGGTAGTACGATATCTTATTAAAATATAGGGTATAGTATGAAATTTTAAAGATAATTTTTGCAGTCTTGTACTTTAAATAAAATATTATTTCTATGTTAATGTAATTAAAATTCATTGATTTTTCGGTTCGGTTCTTCAGTTCGGTTTCGAATATCCGAAGAATTTCAAGGTACCGACATCCCTATTTATCATACAAAGAAAATGTCGAGCCTTAATGGTAAAGATGTAATAATAAAAAATTCCTCAACAAAATCATTTTCGATAATGGTAAGAGTTGTTTTCCAAAGTTAAAATTACTGAAACTGGAAGCTTTCATTCTAGGACTTGTTGAACTCTCGACCATCAAGCAGTTCTCAACCATTGTGGCAGCAACAATTAAATATAGCTGCCGCTTTTTTTGCGCAGCAACAGGTTGAGAATTATAGAAATTTTTAACCTTACCAAGAAATTTTTGTTATTAAGCAAAAAATTGGGGAAGCAGAAGCATATATTTCCTCTGTTGCTCAATCACAGCAATTGGAAGGTAATAAATATTAAATTTAAAATACTAAACTTTTCTTGCCTCGTGCTTTTACTTCAATTTATTAATTAAATTACTGTAAATGGGCAAAAGAGAGTACACGCGGCATTTGATTTGCCTTACTTAAGCGCAGCCCACGTTTTTTCAATCGAGCGTGACCGTACGTATAGAGCAGATATCCCTCAAGACTTAAGCAGTAGAAATAACTGGATTCCGTCTAAACCGTTCGATCGGGAACGTTATGCTTAATGACAGCCGTCTCCCTCGATCATTTTGCTTCTGAGAGTTATACGGCCTTCCTCGTTAAGCCCGAACCATATTCTTTGCTGTCTAGCATAGACAACGATCCCAATTACTAGATAATTAAGATTTTTTGTTTCTTCTTTTCTATTTTTGGTAACTTAAAATTTATGGTGTTTTCCTGCTTGTGTCATATATCATATCGAACATTTTCTTATTAATATACCGCGCATCCGCTTTTATTTAATAAATATAACTTCTTCCCTTTCTCATCACTCTTCTCTTCATTATTAGTTTGAATACAATAGTTTCGATAATGTTTGTCCAAAAAACTTAATTAACTTCCTCCTCTTTTAAAATGGCTTTTATTAACAAATTTTATTAAGACAATATCTATTTACTTTCTTACAATTGTCATTGGAATAAAAAGAAAATATTATTTTTGAGGGGTGACACTAATTAATGAGAAAAATATTTTAAATGAGGGGAATAAATAACCTTTAAATAAAATTTTTTCTAAAAATTGTTCGTTTGCAGCGCTGAAAAAGTAAGAAATCATGGCTTCGGAGCTTTGAAAAAAATTTTTTCGGGGACCGAATTTCGAGGACGGGGAGCAGCCTAACTCAGAAAACCATAAATGTACATACTGTATATATTCTAATTGAATGCCCTTTCATTTGAATGCCCCCCCCCCCCATTGAAATGCCCTCTAATTGAATGGCCCTTTTCTTGAATGAAAGAAAAATAGAATGGCCCTTCCATTTGAATGTCCCCCCAATTGGCCCTTTTTAACTTTAAACTAGCTAAACATATTTATTCCCCTTATTATCCAGTTTAATATTCTTTTTTGTAGGGATAATTGTGATACTTTTGATGGATTACAAGGGAAAGACTACATTTAAGAGGGATATTAAAGGGATTAAGAGTGATATGAGGGGATTTGGAAGGATTAAGAGCCAATCTCTACCTACGAAAAATAGAACGGCCATTTCCATTTGAATGGCCCTTTTTGGGGGTATCGAACAATAGAAGGCAGCCATTCTATTAGAATATACATGGTATTTTGTTTCCAGTAACATCTAATTCCAAGTAAACTGACAGATAAACTTATAAACAATCTTAAAACAAATACCGTATATCCTGTAATAACTACCCTGGGTAATTATTGTTTCGACCTTCCGTTGGAGGGAGTAATTAATCGAAGGAGGGTAATTATACGAGGTTTAAAATTTGAACGTGATTTAGGGCATTTGTTGGGGGTAATTATTGTTTAAATCTATTGCTGGATGGTGTAATTAATAGAAGTGGGGTAATTATTTAAGTGAGGGCAATTTATATAGGATATACGGTAATAATTTTTTAATGTTTATTTAATTATCGCTTAAACTAATCTTAAAACAATTACTGATTTAACATCGCATTTAAAAAAATTTATAAACAAATAAATTAATGTATATTAAAGGCCTTTTTTCGATCCCCGCTGTGCTTATTGAAAACATTAAAGGGAAATTATTGAACGGTTAACTTACGCTTTATTGTTCTTTTTTTAATATGTAGTCCTGGCATGTGCGCTTTTCTAAAAAAATTGAAGAAGGTCTAACAGAAGCACATCTAAATTATAATAATTAAATAATTATTCATATACAGTGTTCTTCTTTATTATTTTTTTGTCTTGTTTTTTATGCATAATCGTTTCTTTTTCTGATGGCTTAATGAATAAAGAAGCGACGGTCAACGCTTTTGTAGATAGTTTTTTGGATAATTTTTTTAAGAGGCAGAAAGCCTTTTAAGTGTTCTGCCGAACAGAACCACGTTTTAGTAACCGAAACACAACAAAAATTTTTTGAGAGGATGAAAAGCGAAAGTCCAAACGTGGTCCACCGAATTCTAGTAGATCCACTTAAATCTTTATGCTACAAATCTACCGATATTCCACAAAAGTCCTTCCAACCCCTCGATTTGACATAAATTATATACGGATCCGAAATGTTGGATATCCGGATCAGACCTGGGCGAAACTCCAAAATTTTTTCAGACGAAACGAAACGAAACAAAATTTTTTAAAAATCGTTTCGTTAACGAAACGAGACGAAACAGTAAAAATTTAGCGAAACGAAACGAAACAAAACGAAACATTTTAATTTTCAAAAAATTTAATAGAAACGGTTTTATTTTCTTAATTATTCGATTTTAGACACGTTATTAGGCCAGTTATGGCCTATAATTGATCTAATAGCTTAGTGGGACCTTAAATTGTGGTCCCAGGCTCGAATTATGTGTTGAGAATATGTGTATATCCGTGACCTGCCGACCCGTTACCTGATTCCCTAAAATCGGGAATTAATTTTGTCGGAAATTACTATCGCCTAAACCCGTTCCTGAGTTCCGGCATTTTTTTTAATTTTTTAAACCCTCCAAATCCACCGATATCCCGTTTACTCTCTCCCAATTTCCTATACCACCATTGCTCCTGCCAAATCCAATGATATTTCTCAACTCAGATTTTTTTGTTGATAACAACGTTCATAATTAGGGTTGCCAAAATGGACCGACTCGGACCAAAAGATCGAGTCGAGCCTAAGATATTTGGCCCGAAAAGTCTCATACTGGCCCGACTCGATAGAAACAGGCCCGAAAAAAGGCAACCATATTCATGATCATTGCCATCAGTTGCGTTTTCGTTTATTGAAACTAAACTTTATTGAAACTCTTGCACCTACCCTGATTGGCATTAAGAGGTATATCGATTCTATATGCCTAATCTAGCATAGAATTCGAGCTTTGCATATTAGAAAAACAAAATCAAATGAGAAATTCAAAAAAATATAGTAAATTATGCGCCGTAGGCGCTTAAAATCCAGATTTCAGCGCCGCAGGCAAAAATTTTTTAAATTTTGATCACCAAAGGGGAAAATTTTTCAGCTTTTGGGTAATATTTTGGTTTAAAAAATGGGTAATGTTTCGTTAACGAAACAGAGGTGTTTCGTTAACAAAACGAAACGAAACAAACTAAAAAGTGTTTCGTCACGAAACGAGACGAAACAGGAAAAAACATAACGAAACTAACGAAACAACGAAACGAAACGAAACGTTTCGCCCACGTCTGATCCGGATCTGATACCCGAACCGAAAATTCGCGAAAAAAAGCGAAATTTTGACGAACGATGAAAGACGAAATAACTGTAAAATGAGGAAAAATTACTAGAGATCGGTCAAATCAAAGCTTTGGTTAAATACCAATTTCACAGCTTTGATCAAATTTTCAAAATTATTTGATATCCTTCTTAATACCTTATCAGTGGATATCAGAGGATTTAGAAGGATTTAGAAGGATTAAGGAGGATGTAGAAGGAAAATTTTTAATTTGTTGTTTTATTTTTCTGATATCTTCAAATCCTCCTCGTTGGTTGTGAATAAAGTCGGCACACCCCAACCTAACGCGAGCTCAATCTACCGCCGAGGCTATAACTTCTTTCAAAATTGTCGAATCTGAGAAACTTGGTATGGTTGGATTCAGCTTGTCAAGGCGTATCGAACCATACCAAGGCGTTTCGGATACGACAATTCTGAAAGAAGTTATAGTCTCGGCGGTAGGTTGGGCTCGCGGTAGGTTGGCCTGCTCCCGAATAAAGTTGGCACATTTTCTCAAGTCCCCGGTCTCACTAAATTTACTAATATCTCTTAATCAACGAACTCTTTTTATCCATCTTAAGAAAAGAAATTAAATTGGAATTTTAGAATTTGAAATGAAAGTGCTTGCTTCTGGAGCCCCTTTGCCACAATCACTTAATTTGTCCAATATTTCAAATCACTTGCTAGCGAGAAATTATCAAATTATAATGGATGCGCAGCAACGTCAGGTTGCCTTGTAATTTAAATTGGGGGTGGCGGATACGGAAAACTTCTCATTATCTCTTCAGATCCACCATAATCCTAGTAAATCCACCTAACTCTTTATACAGAAATCTACCGATATTCCACTCAAGTCCTTCCAACCCCTCGATTTGACATAAATTTTATACGGATCCGAAAGTTTGGATATCCGGATCTGATACTCGAACCGAAAATTTCCGGGTATCCTGCCTTTTTTTGCTTATTATTATTTTGTTATTATTATATACAGTCAAGTGGAATCATGCTGGGTCCATTCTAAAACCAAACATATGCACATAAAACCATTATATTCTCTACGGATAACTATTGGGTTGGCCAGACCGTAGCTAACACCTTTACCAAGCTACACCGGTGTGCTTTCCTATCATGCCTTTTTTTGGTGCCTAGGGGCACATACTAAAGACTGACTAACTGTGAACTCATTTATTGGTTAAACAATATATAAACATAAGCATGTGAATGGGAGTGATCACAGAAAATAGTGATAAATAATAATTATAGTGTAATTGTTGGGAAAATCCATTAACGCATAATACAATCCATTAACTACAATACATATTATTATTCAAATTTTTTAGAACTTCCTCTACCTTATCACGGGAGCATCAACTGCTTCAAGACAAAATACCTTAAATGAAGAAAGCCCATCGGGTGACGAATCCGACGAAGGTGATGATTGGCGTGAGGTGCTTTTTTCAATTAATTCATTCATTATTGAATAAATTTAGACTGGTGATGAAAAACCCTCTTCTAGCTTTGGAGCGATGCCTGCTTTCAAATCTATAGGAATAAAAAAGAAAAAGACTCGTACTGTATTTTCCAGAAGCCAGGTAACAAGAAACATTAATTGTTAGTATACAGATAGGTGCAAAAATATGGAAACCCCTAGTCTTCCACTAGGGCTTCCACTTAGTTTCTTTGATATTTTTATGTTAATTAATCAGTAAATTTTAAAAAGAGTAAATTTTTATCAAAGTTATAAAGAGTTTCTATCAGAATAAAAAAAAAGAATTTTTTTCAATATCGAGCTCTCGATATCTTGAAGGGGTAAGAAACTTCACTAAATTTTTACGACCCGTATAGTATGTTTTAAATTTTTCTTTTAGGCGTATTCTAAATCCCTTGAAATTCGCTACAAGCTAGTATTAATCATATTTTTCAGAAAAATCCATTAATGAGATAAAGGCAGAATTAAGTAAAAAAAATAGTAGAATCACTTAAAATAGCTCATAAAATGCTAATTTTTAACCTTTCAAAAATTCGAACCCACGAATCTAATGACATATATCACGTCCCGAACCTTTACCACCGGTACACTACACTATATACCATATAGATCTTCTTAAGGTTAGTCTGTTGGAATCAGCATTCAACGCACAACGTTATCTCACCAGTCAACAACGCATAGATTTGGCTAGGACACTGAGCCTTACTGAAACTCAGGTGAAAATATGGTTTCAGAATCGAAGAAATAAGTGGTATAACCTAATACAAAATTATTTTCTTTAATTTTTTGATTTTAAGGAAAAGAATAATTGGAGCGAATATGGACTGTAACGCGATTTTTCGTCCATATAATTTCGCACCTTATTTACCTCAATAAATTGTGCCCTAAATTGCTTAGATATAAAAAAGTAAAGTTTTTATTGCATTGAATCCGTTTATTTAAAATCTAATGGTTCCCAATTATTGTAAGTTGCGGTACCAACACGAACTCTGCTTCTCATTCAGTTGCCTCAAAAGTAGGGGTTAAATAAAAATTAAAAAATATAGGTATTTCAAGCTTTTAGGTATTACAATATCAACTATTTTAATTTTACTGATTATTACAATTACGGATCTCAATTATAGTTATCGATTGTTTAAAATTTGTTAATTGATTGTTTAATAATCGTTTATTAATTATTTAAACAGAGTTGATCAAGATGAGACCGATACCGAGATTCTCGGCTTTTTTCCAATATCGGTCTCGGATTTTCATTCTCGTTCTCGAACCCGATACTGAAATTCTCGGTCCATTTCTCTGCGAAAAACGATACTGACTCAGAGAAACAAAATCTTTAATATTGTCCAAAGTAATTTTGCAAAGTGTTATAAATTTTATATTTAAGATTTATTTATGTATTTTCATTAGTGACCGGGGCCTTGTCTATACTGAAATTTAAAAAATTTTCGTCTGCGGCGCTGTAAACTCATATTTGCCAAAAATAGCGAAATCGTTAAATTTTGCCAAATACTAGAAAGGGAATATTTAAAGAAAATGACAAGGGATCTTGAGGGATTAAGGGGCGACTCGATCGAACTCGGACGGTCTACAATCTAAAGAATAAATCTAGCAAATTTGTTTGATTTTTTTATTTAAATCGCATGGATTTTCTCCGTGTTCCGTTTTGACAAATTACTCCTACCAACAATAAACACATTCAATTAAGACCTTTGTAACACAACGCTACCCAGACTTTTTTGAAAAATTTAAAATACAGAATTGAACTTTTTATTTAACAATTTATCAAATTAAAATTTACGATAGTTTTGATAGAAATTATATGTAAAAAAGCTGAATTATCGCTAGAAATAACAGTTTTTCAATCAGAATTTTATTTAAATTATCAAAATTCAAATTTTTATTTTATCAATTAGACAATTTAATTCTCTTTTCAATAGTTTTTATTTAATTTTAAACTATTCATCCGTTTTTGAATTAGTAGCTATCTGTTTTAGCATATTTAGATGGAAAACATGAGATGGAAAATTTGGGGTGAGAGAAAAAATTATTTATAGTTGGTTTGTGATACAGTAAGGTGCAAAAGTTTATGCCGCTGCACATTGCAGGCAAAGAAATCGATATCACTCAAGAACAGAAGGGACTTTGATTAAATCAATTATACCGTATTTTTCCCAATAGAAGCGCATGCGCTTCTATTTTTCAACCTCCTCATAGACTGCGCTTCTATTGGGACGTGCGCTTCAAATGGGACGTGCGCTTGTATTTTTCAACTCATATGCGAATTAATTTTTATAACTTTATATGTAGAAATTTAAAACAAATATTAAATCTCTATAGAATTATCAATTTCAATTCCGTTTTCATTATCTTTATTAAGATTAATTTCTGCCTAACTTTCTGAAATTTCTTTACCTCTCAAGCTTATAAAGCCTGACCATCTGGCCTATAACAATTTATTTTATAATTTTTGAAACCGTCGCATGGAATTCCAATTCCATAAACCCAAAACATCTCATGCTTCAACTATACATCCCAAATAAAATTTCATTGGTGGTGACCCAAATAAGAACGCGTTGTAGAACAATGATTGCCCAATAATTGCTCTTAAATATTCGATTGTGAGGGCATCATCCATCCAGCTTTTTCCACTCCATCGCCTAGGCAAGATCGAAATAAATTTTTCCCTAATTATAACTCAAAAAACCTTAAATCTTTCGATAAGAGAGGGATCAGATCGTCTATGTGAAAATAGTACAAAGGGAAGATTGAAAAAATTTATCGATAGAATACTATTTGCGTTTCCGAGTATAGCACCGGTTACATTACTTGAACCGATTACATTACCTAAACATGAATTTTCGAACCGGAAGTACATAGAATCCATTTTTTATAAAAATGTATAAATTCTTAATCTAAATGTATGTAAATGAATAATACTTGTTTAAAATAGTAACTATGTAACAGAGTAATTGCTCAAATAAGTATTTCATAGGGTGCGCTTCTAATAGGACCTGCGCTTGTATTTTTCAACCTCCTCGTAGACTGCGCTTCTATTGGGACGTGCGCTTCAAGTGGGACGTGCGCTTCTATTGGGAAAAATACGGTATATTATTTAGGGCTAGGTATTGTATTATTAAAATTTATAAGAAAAATTTTCAATATACATTCTAGTCAGAAATTATAAGCATCAAATCCAATCTACCTCAAATTTTGGGGGAGCAAAAGTTTATGCCGCTTATAGGAAAAATTTTTTTTGGTTCTACATAAAACAAGTCGAAAAAAAGTTCAAAAAAATTTTTATAAACATTTTCATTGATATTGAATGGAAAAGCAAAAAGAATAAATTCCATAAATAATTTTTTAATCGAGATCCAAAATTTTAAAAATCAACGTAAAATCGAGGCACAGTAATTTAAAAAATATTTTCGACCCCTAATGATTTTTTTAAAATTTTTGTTTTAGGCTCATTTGAAAGCCCATAAAATTCACTACAAAATACGTGAATCTCCTATATTGGAAAAATTTACACTCCGAGGTAGGGTGACTTTAATTACCAAAGAAATAAAAATGAGCATTTTATAGGGTATTTTGAGTTATTTTGACAACATAGTTAATTCATGCCACCCTATCTCGAAACTAAAAATTTTCACAGATATGAGACCAAGTGTATTTTGTAGCAAATTTTATGGGCTTTCTAATGAAACCAAAAAGAATCGTCTTGTTTTGGAACCAAAAAAATTTTTTTGCTACAAGCGGCATAAACTTTTGCTCCCCCAAAATGTGAGGTAAATAAGTTATGACCGAATAAATTTTGAATAACGTGGTTATTAAAAAAATTTTTTTATGGATATTATAAACAGATGAACTATATTTAATTAATATATAATCGATTTAATTTAAGTCCCTTTTCTTCCTGAGATATATCGACTTTTCTGGGTGCGAGGTGTAGCGGCATAAACTTTTGCACCTTACTGTATATTTTTAAATAGCGTGTAAAACTAGAAAAGTTACCCCCAGAAAAGCAGATAAAGAAAAAAAAGGATAGTTGAACGACCTTGCATCATAAACCATCTTACAATCTTTCTCTTGTTATTCCATCTCCATCCAAATAAAATTCATAAATTCCTTCATTCAACAATGGAGTTATTTTGACAACCATTTTAGGACTAAGGAAACTTCTATGTAAACCCATTTGACCATCTTCAATATCATCTACATTAGTTGTTGCTATAGTTATTTTTATGGAATGACGCAAACTTTTCAATACTTTTTTCTCAAAATCGGAAATTTTCTTGAACATTTTGAAACCACATTTCTCCTCGTTTGCTTTTTTAATTTTAACGTAGAATTGAAACCATCTCGCATGATTGAAAACGATAATAAAATAATTGCCCGGATTGTTAAACTTTAAACAAATTTCAATGTGAGAATATTCCATTTTCTCTTCATGTTTTTTGCCCTTTAATGAAGTTGACTCAATTAAATTAGCTTTGCCAAAATTTTCTCTTTTTAAAATTTTTCTAGGCCCTTCTGGATTCAAAAAACATATTAATTTTGTCAACTTTGCATAATTGTTTTGAAATGTCCGTAAAAGTGTTTTTATTCCGTTTATGTTTATTTCTGCACCATTAGAACGAGCAGTATTTTCTATACTCTCTTGATGCAGGCTATCTACTTCTAAATTAATCTGCGCAAAAAACATAGACTCCAAATTCATTAATTTCTAAAAATTGAAATACAGTTTGACTCAAATTTATATACACACAAAATATCGTGTTCAATTGGATAGAGGACAATTAGGTAGTGGACAATTGGGGAATGCGAATTTGGGGAGCCAAACGCAAAACAATGTTACAGACAGAAAAATATCCTTAAAATCTGTGAGACTCCATAACACACACACAAAATGTACAGGCTTTATACTCGTAAAGGCTACCTGTCCATATTTTTGCTCGTATTCAAATGTGAGATACGAGTACGCATTTTGGAACGAGCTTCCAACCACTGGTTTCGATTATAGAAAATTAACAATAAGACTGTTACCTTAACACCCGTATTTTCTCTTAAGCAAATATTTATTTTTGTTATTTTGAAATCCCGAAACGAATCCTCAATCAAAATTAATTT